CAGCTGACTGTGATCACACGGGGGTTAAAGGGACGATTCCAATGGGCGTTTTCCGCGTATATGAATCAGGCACATTTCGAAATATGCTGTGCGTTATTTATTGAATAATTGGCTAATTATTTGGTATAATATGTGTTAATTTTTAGGGCACTGTTTACGACCGATATACTATATTTAAACACACTTAATTACGACAATTAATAAAATAGTTATAAATAGAAAAAAAACCATAAAATTAATAAAATATGGAAATTAAAGGATATTCATACGGTAAATACCCCGCGCTCAAATTCATGGTAAATTTCATGTTACAAGCATTCTATATTTTTATCGCAACTATCGAGATGAATATTTCACGAAATTCTAGTTCAGTCATTTACCAAGGACAGAAGTGTGAACATAATGTTTGGTAATATAGCCACATAGTACTATTTATTACAGGCATGTGTGTCCAGTTCTACCATTATGAATGAATTGACTTCTATTATATTTCCAAGATTCTTCGTCATATTAAAGCGGGGGAGTCGTCACCTGCGCATGCGTCAGGTGGCCATAGCGTGTCATTGTTTACAATCAAGCATCTAAACATGATCCTTTGCGATTTTAGCGTGTGTTGTTATCGTCGCTTGAGACTCAATTCCCGCGCGTGCGCAGGTGACGGCCCTCCCGCTTTAACAAATCTATAAGAGTTCATTGTACATCGGCACCTCTTACTGGTAAAATATCAATAAAATGTCAATAATTTCCTGTATATGTATATACAGGTATATACACAACGAATGGTATTATTGGTAATGTAATTTTTGTTCGATTAAAATATTTGTTTGTTTGTTTTATTCTTTATTACATTTTATATAAGAAACCAAACTTAATCAATATATTTACAAATAACACATCAAATACATCAAATCAAATATGCAAGGTGGTAATTCGTTCTATGCACATTTGAAATAAATTGGTATAGTTTCTGTTCACATGCACACACACACTTACGTTCTACTTTCTAGTTTAGCCCCCATCCCCATCCTCCAATAGTCATTTTGCGTTCTCTGCGAGATCTCATGTTATGCGTGAAACAGAACGTTAAAACAAGACAAAGGTCGTAATGGCACAACATGCGAGAAACGTGAAACTATTTTTGGTGTGTTTCCATGCTTACTATTATACTATACTTGAGACACATTATTTCTGGCTACATTTGATGATGATCAATTTTGATGTAGTAAAGATATCTTAACGCCATACTATTCCTCTCTGAAAGATAGGAAATATCGATATTGAACTATAGAAAAAAGAAATTCGAAATAAAATCATTCGAATTTTGCGGCAGACATTCGAACCGCGTCTCCCACGCATTACGCGAGATCTCGCAGTGAACGGAAGATCAAATGTTAGTCATAACGTACAGTGTGAATACTACAAATGAAACTCTAGTTTCGTTTCCGGATTCATTCCGCATCCGATGCTTGGAAACCAGCCTCTCTTGTTCTATTTTCAGATATTCACAACATTTGTAGGTAGTTAAACAAAAAAAGTAATAAAATAACTCCAATTATATTATTTGAATTATAATATGAACATTTAGCTGGAACCCTGATTTAGTGATTTAGAATTCCGTAAAACTTCATACGAGATTAGTACTTCACATTTCATACATCAAACCTAGGCACTCATGCTGTTGTTGACTCAGTTGGAAACGTAACGATGATGATGAATGTTGCCCCCAACATTACATTTCCTATATAATTATTAATGATCAAATGTAAGCCCCTTTTGTAATAACGTACATTAGCAGTAATGGCAGTCGTTAAAGTCAGTATATCCAATTTGTCATTATAATATATATTATACAGGTAATCTAAGCATTGGAATGGGTTTAATTGTTTAAGTGTTACCTGGCATCAGCGTGGATTATATTTTAATAAAACCACTGTAAAGCATGCGGTTACGTTTTATGTACTTCATCAGAGGATCATCGCTCTCGCAGTTTCTATATTCACTGTGGAGACCAAGGTAAGACGTACACAGACATGAGGTATCAGCACAGAAAAAATGCGCCCTCTATGGTGGAAAGTGTTTCAATCTTTTTTTTTATATCGCACAATATACTCGTAGACGATTATACTGTGGTATTCTCCAAGCTGGTTATGACATAGTATAAACCATCATAGCACGAAAAACTCCCAATATGCAACACATTTTCTATTAATTAAGCTATGCGTATTCACGGCGACAGACTTTACACAAATTAGTTGAGCCATGATCACTTCGCAGACGTCGTTTATAAGCCCTAACCATCACGTAGCCATGATATGAGTACACATATATTGCTGACAAAAAGAGAACATACCAAACACTATTGTGTGCGTGTGGAATTTATTAAAACGTACACCCCAGAACTCATTTTAGTATTATTTCAAAGAATAAGCATAAGTAAAAGTTTTATTAATGCAATCTCAGTGCTAGGCTAGGCACAATTTCGTAATCATGTTTCATCTATCCAAAAATAAACATGATTAAATTAAAAATGTAAGAATGACAGCATGAATCATTTCTATTTTGAAATTGAAAATAAAAACAATTAATATTCTATTCGAATTAACAGATTAAATAAAAACAGTATTGGTCTGATATAGTGAACAGTTCCATATTCGGGCCATTTATGTACTAACCCATTATACTCATTAACATAAAATTAATTATTACAGATTTACTCACAAATGTTTACAATTGTTGATGTTTAACTGACTACCTCTATTACTACATTAAATATAATAATTTGAACTATGGTATCACGATTAGTTTTACGACTCCCACACAAGACTGATCCATATTAGCACGACCGACACATAGTTCACACAGGAACAAGTTTGTAAATCCCCAATTTTAAAGTTGACGTTACCTGAGACAAAGTGATCACTGCCTTTGATTTAATGTAATGCAATGTAACGCAACGTAACGCAATACAACGTAACGCAACGTAACGTAATGCAATGTAATGTAATGTAACGTGACGTAACGTAAACATGTCTGGTTATAGAATATAGCTGCCTATGCAGTAGCTTATGTGAATAGAAAATGAAAATATTGCGAAAAGCAAACTCTTTTTGGTATATATAGAACTGGGAAATTTAGTTTATACTATTGATAGTTCAACGCATATATGATCAGAAAGTAAACTCATTTTATAGCAAATAAATGATTCGCCCGATTTTAAATTGACCAACATCTATGGAGCATCCAGCGGCAAAACACATCTTTGAGCACATGTCTCTCGTGAATTTCACAAGCATATATAATAATAACTCTTTTCACACTCATTGTACGTTACATGTAATAGTTACTCTATCTGATCTGCAAATAAGTGTACCATTGAATAAATTAGTTTTCTAAGAAATAAATTACAATAGTCACGTTAAACCTTATATCAATTGTCTTAAAATAAAACTATAAATATCATTCGTTTATTATCCCGTGAACTTCTATTAAAATGGCATGGGAGGATTTAAACTACAAGGAAAAAAACTAGCACTAGACTTTGTACAATCGATAGATGAAGCAATGTCTTAAAATGTATATTTATTCACGTCGCTGCCAATTGGTCCATTTTAGTTGTATTAGAATAACGGTTGATGCGGGCTGGTAAACGCGAAGCTCAGTCTATCATAGTCAACGTATCTATTATTATCCAGTTCGGAGATTTTCGTTTTGATGTAGTAATAGATGAACAAGCAGATGAAGAAGATACCAAACACCGCAAATATGATTCCCAGGGGTAGAAGGTATTTGCGACCCGGGTGATCGCGATTCGTTGCGAACGTGAGAGAAAGCAACACAAAAGCCGTGACAATGAGAAACACGTACAAGCCACTTAAAACCACCATTAGCACTGGACTCCTCTTTTTTGGCTCCACCTTTACGCCATCAGTCGATAAAGACTCTGGTATGGGTGTGTAGTCATGATAGCTGTTTTTCGATTGCGTTTCCATCGTGCAGATTGTATGGTTACTTTTCAGTTATATGAAAAGAATACTCCTGAAAAAAATTAAAATAAAATAAATTACTGTAATATGGATAATTCTTGATAGGTTTAAATTTCAATGATTTTGCATTTCAGGCATATTCAGTGGGTTTTAAATTCACGGTTTTATCATTTAGATAACGTTTTCTATGCTAATTTTACATATTCACTGGGTTTTAATTTAGCGCATTTTCCAGTCTGCGAAATAAGCTAAATTAAAACCCAGTGAATAATTAACCCTTTTACAGTACCTCCAATATAATGTTGCATGCATTAAGCTTGGAAATGGATATCAATCATCACCATTGTAATTTTGCATTAAAATAGCAACGATAATATAACTAATCTGTGTTTCAAACATTTTCTGAAAGTTACTGAGTATGCTACTATAAAATCCTATACGCCATCTGT